CAGGGAGACCTGGGCAACAGATATAAGAGACTTTTTTACACCCTAGATACTTCAAATATATGAGTACACCCCACCATACACTAACAGGTCCTGACTAGTATTACTGTACAAGATTACTTGTACAGCAATAGATACTTGTACAAGATTATTAATGGCAGATAGAGCTCAGTTTTCTGAGCCATATCAGTGATGCCTGAACACGTTTCATAGCTTGTCTTCACACATAATAAAAGTCCCACATGTTTTGGAAATGTTGGCTTTGCCAAGCATGTGCAGAACATCCTGTGTATCCTGTTCTTCCATGCTCTCATTCTGTAACCATAATGTCCACATTACTATGTGCAAAAAACCTCAAAAGAAAACATGGAAGAGCTATATATAGCTAACAAGGACATTTTGGATCATCTTTACATAATTCAGAAATTAAAAATTATGAACAGACTTAAGCAAGAGATGAGTAGAGGCAGAAATGGTGAAGGCAGAGATGAGGGGGCAGGAGGGCTACAGAACTTGTGATGAGAACAATAAGAGCCCAGGGATGCCAAAGGTGAGGTGGAGGAGACATCAGCAAGGCAGGAAGAGGATTAGTTTGGGCAGAAGAATCTGGCCTACTGTTCAGTCTCCGTTTCCTCCAGTGAACATGTTTTATGCAACATGTAAAGCAATAAGGGAAACCCAAAGGAAGGGTATGTCATATAAACCACTTTGAAAGCCTTTTTAGTAAAAGGAGGTTTGAGCTGCAGAGCCTCGCAGAGCCTCTGCACCATTGTGCTGGTATTTCCACCTTGCAGAAGCATTCTCAGCCAGCCCAGCCAAGCAAACAAACAAACAGCTGCCATGTTGTTTGCATTGTAGATGAACTCAGAAGAAAATACAGCTGCAATTATTTGGCACACAGCTGTTGAACTGAATCCTTTATTGCCCAGCTAGTAGTGCCCTGAAATGTGGCTTAAGCTGCAGTAGCTGTATTCAGAACAAGGGGTGCCACAGAAGGGGTTAACCATACACCTGTTTGCATGTTCATAATGTGGGATTTTTCCTGAGCACATTATTAGTCTGTTAGCTCATTTAGAGGCCATAATGAAGTCATTATGATGCCACCAGTATATTTTGCCAGAAAGCTGGCAATCTTTAATCTGCTTCCTCTACAGCATCTCACAAAGGAAGGGAGAAACCAAAACACTGATTTCAACTAACAATGTATTTATTTGCTGTGCTGGGTCCCAGCACATGCTGAGAAGAAAATTCTTTTGTTTATTCCCCCCTCCTTCTGATGGGTTTTACATAACAAGAAAGGCATAGAAGATCCCTTAATACAACACAAAGCCACTCCACCTTTTACATGCTTTTCATTTTCTCTGCACCTTCCTTTGACCTTTCAGCTGATGCAATCAAAGATGAAGTTAAAAGTTTTTTTAAAATAGCCCTGGTTAATGAGTAGCCATGCATATGTACACATTGCCTCTAACTGCGGTGCCGCACTTGTACCTTCTTAGGAAGACAACAATATATACTCAGCAGGGATTTCTAGAAGTGTGTCAGGAAGCAATGGTTGGCATGCCAACAAAGAGGACTTTGTGGGATTCAGGGGAAGATAAGGCATGTGGATAAAAACAAAGACAAAAGGGCTAATCCACCCCAGTCCAGTTTCACACTCACCAGTGCATATGCATTTACAAATGGGGTAAAATTTACTTTTGTCAATCCCTGCTTTTGTTCCCCAGCTAAACAAACCCCACTGATACTTCAGGCTCGCATGGGTAGCATTTAAGGCAGATGACCAAAGAGGCTGAATGAGCTGAGTTTTCCTATTACCAACAGCTGGGATGTGCCTGGGTCATGCTACAGGGGAAGAGTTGAGCCATATCTATCCAGCCCTCCATGCACGAGGGAATGTATGTCTTACAGAGAGGTGAGTAGGTCAGGAAGTTGAGTTTAAGGGCAGATGACTACTATGACCGTTGTCTTTACTAAGTACCTGATTAAAAGTTCACAAAAGCTTCCCACTATTTTCATCACCTAAAAAGCTCACCAGAAGGAAGTAATTTTTCTAGTACTAAATGTCAAAAAACTGCAAAAGAAATCCTTCCATGATGCAGAAAGTTAGTAAATTCAATGGCTTGATCACAGTTAATGGCCAGATGTTCCGCTCACTATCAAGTCCTTCTGAAGCTTCAGTTCAAATGCGTTTCTTCATACAATGGTAATTTTATGAGTTACTAGATCATGCTGCACAAGGGTGACTTCTCACAAGAGCTCCCATCAGCCACATATGATACTGATAACAGCACAGCAAGATTAGCTGGGACACCAGCAGTTCTGAGCCCACCATCCTGCTTCAAGTGGCAAACAACTGCAGCACAACTGATACCTGCCTGCGGCTAAAGCTTGCAAATGGCCATTTTGATGATACTCTTGTGTTAGAGCACTAGCAGCACAGCTGAATGCCAGCAGGGCTACTTGTTTTTGGTAGATGGTGCACAGCTGCCAGCAGCATGCTGACATGCCAGGATGATCTGAGCATCCCCTTGCAGCTGCAAAGGGATTCAGGGCTGCACCACAGCCCTGAATTACCACCCCTGTGCTCTCCTCCAGTGCGTTCATGGTGCACTGGTGAGAGAGTTATTAGTGGGCCCTAAAGTGGGATAAAAATGAAGATGCATGCTCATGCCAAGGGAGCAGAGAGCATTAAGGGGCAAGGAAGGCACTGTGAGCAAGTGTGGATTGAAAGAGGAAGAGGCAATGAGCGTATCATGGGTTGCTTTTCAACAAAACAAATTACATTCTCTGAATTTGTATGTGGCACATACTGCACAGCTGGGGAACTGTGATCAGATAAGAGGAAGAAGAATAGCCTCGGACTTAAAGCATGTGAGCAGAACCAGACAATATGACTCTTGTAAACAGCTTTGACCACCCAGCTCACTGGTGGAGATCTTCGGGAGTGTTACTTGAAGCTGTAGGTTCCGAGATACATGGGCACTCCAGTGCGGAGGAAAGGAGAAAGCCAAGGATGGGGAAATTTTTGTCCTCGGTGATTAGGAACAGTCAGTACAGTGCGTGCATGTTGCTCATGTAGCAAAACTCTTGGCATTTTGCCACTCCTTGTGGTCACAGCTAGCCCTTCGAGGCCCTGACAGCTTGTGTGCTCCCTCCTGCTGTGACCCAAGAGCCTGGGCATACAGGCTGCTTGCAGAGAGCCTGGGGACAATTAGATGGCTCTGGGAGATGGCCTTGAAAGCAAATGAACTGAGACTCAGAGGAACAGAGTTGAATGCCTGGGCCCAAGAAGCTGCACAGGGTATGAGTAAGACATCTGCACTCCCACCCTAGATGTTTTTCATGCTCTGTGTTTTGAACATGACCTCAGAGCCATTGACCAATATTAGAGCTATCAACATTATTCTGGAGTTGCTTCAACATCCACTCTGTGCCTGACAGCAGGGAGTGCTTACACACAGAACATAAGCACTAGATCCATCCGTTGCACACTGAAGTGATGGAGATACACTACACAGCTTCTATGGAGTTGGTGCAGAAGGTAAAACAAAAGATAACTATGATTTCAACCCATAACACAAGAAGGTTTTGTGTTTATCCATGCTATGACCATGAGTGAAAAAGAAGTAGCACCTTCTGGCTCTCAGTGTTGACAACCAGGCAGCTGGAAGCTCTCAGCAAAACTTGGAACCTACCAAGTCACCATTTTTAGGTGGGAAAATAAGAGGTGTAACCAAGGGGAAATTGAATAACAAATGATAACAGTAATAACAGATGTATGGCAGCCATTTAGAGTGGTGAAACCAAGACTTCTACTGAGGAACTTCAGCTTGGACTGGGGAGTGAAGTTGACCCCAGCTGCAGCATGGGAGAGCTGTACAGGATCTTGGTGCACCTATAGTGGTCAGATGGTAGTGGAGAGGTATCTGGGAAAGAGGGTGGTGGCAAGATGGCTTTTTCATCACCACTGCTGAATGCATAGACTTAGGTGCTTGAAGATCAGGAACATCAGCTCCTCTGGGCTAAATGTTTCTTAGGTGTCTCAGCCCACAGTTTTGAAAAGCCACTTGAATATTCTTCACTCCTGCACTTGCTGGCAGCACACTCAAACATTACCACCATTGATTTTAACAAGAGTCAGATAACCAAATACTGAATTGATACTATCAGCAGTCAGTCAAGAAGAGTCGAAGAGTGCAGGGAAATGAAGAGAGAGCTTCTGAGGCCCAGGATAATCCCCTGATGCCTATGTCAGATCTCTATTATTAATACAGATTTATTACATTAATCATTATTTCCTAGCACTATTAAGAAGAAAATTTTCATGAATTTTTTGCTGATCTTGTTAATCATGAAGCAGGTTATCATTAGAAACACTCCTAAATGAACTTACTTTTTATCTATGCTATGTATATATCCTATAGCTTGTAAATATCCAATATGTAAATTACACTTTCATTTTTATCTCTCTCTCTATATATATATATATCCCTTTCATTCAAGATCACCTGAGGCCATGACATAGCCAAATGCCTTAGTTACTGTATCAGCTGGAACTTTTCTGATGCTAGTATCATCTAGGCTTGAAGCCAGGTGTACATATGTGTACACTAGGACATCACAAACATATAGGAAAGAGCTATTTCTATACCAAGACTGTGTATGTTGAAAAGATTAAACTTCAGTCTTCTCATGCTGCAAACTTGGCTAAGAAAACTGCATTTAAAACAGTCAAAAATGCTGCTTGAAGAATTACTGAAATGTCAAGCAGCATATGAAAGGACTCTGTTTTCATGTCGTCTCCATGCTCTAACTCCTTTCACATCCCTCAGGATTATAATTTTTTTTAAATTGCATTAAGAAAAAAAGGCTCAGTCATCTCAAGTGTTCAATTTAAATGCCAAGTTCCTGCCTGGATTCACATTTTCTAACTCAGTTTTAAATCATTGAAACCAGATTGAATAGGGTGCCTTGTTTGGTAAGCATTGCTGTTCACCTACCAACAGAACTTCAGTGTGGTCCTCTTCCGCAGACATTTACCCATTGACTTGATGGGGACTACTCAGGAGAGGAAGGACCTTTCAGGCCTGCTGAGTATCCTTTTGTCTCATCCTGCTATTAAATCTCTCTAAAAAAGAAACATTAGCATTCTGGAAACTGATACTGTAGAAAATTCTGTGGTCCTTTGAACCCTGGAAGTGTCAATTCATGTTTTGCTTACAGAAGCAAAGCAAATGGCTTTTTCCCCTCAAATAACATAGCAATTGCTTTCTCTTTCTTGTCCACGGGACATTAAACAGTTGGGCTTGTTTGTCACACAAAATCAAATTAAAGAGAGCATGACAAGTTAGTGTGTGTCTTCTCTGAAAAATGAGAAAGAACTGATGCTCACGTTCCTGCCAGCACCACCCGCTTGTCTAACCTGGAAGGGCCAAATGCCATTTCCCGAGGTAAGAGCAGTTCACAGGTGCTCTCCAGGTGTGGAGCTGTGATTTACCTCACTGCTAATGGGGGCTAACTGTGGCCATGCATTTCAAGGGCGGAAAAGTCTTCCACCAGCATTCTTGTTTCTCCCTGTTCATATGTCTCTGTATGTCCTCCCACACCACACTCCCTGTAAGCTGGATCCACTTATAGTTTCCTGTTTGGAACTGGAAAGTAAATATTCCCCTTGGTCTACTCCCAGCATAACCACTACCAGCTCCAAAAGCCCTAGTTAACTTCTGCTCTGTCCAAGCAGGATGTTCTTCCAAACATGCAGCTGCTGATCCAGGGGGCACAGCCATATCCTGCTGAAGAGGGAAAAGAAAAACAAACACCAGAGCTTCAGCTGCATCGCCACAGGTAGTCATGGTTGTGATGCCATTGCAAGCCCTCTGGATTTGAGTAACTTCACAGCAAACTCGTAGCACCTTGAAGAGCCATGGCTGGCTTCACACTGAAAGTCTAGCAGCATCCTATGTCTATGCCCTGGTTACAATTTGCTCCATGAGGAATTTTCCAGCACTCTGAGCTTTTTCCCTATCCTTCTTCTAGGAAGACTTCTATGATGGCAACATCCTGCCCCAGATGTAGGAAAAGAGAAAGGATGTAGGGAAACACTGGTGGTGAAGAACAGAGCAGATATTAATATCCTCAGTGATGTCTGCATTTCATTTTCCCTTTTGATGTACAGCTTGGCACTTCAGCTGTAGTTGCTGTTCCCCTGATTGCACCTGGTTTGGGAGTTAAAGAAGAACATACTTTCTGTTGCTATTGCCCCGTAGGTCAGACTAGCTTGCTCTAAAGTTTCTACTTGTTATGTATGTACATGTGAGTTTAATAAAGTTTGTTGTCTGTTTAAGCTCTGTTGTTGTCTACTCAATTGTAGGGAAGTGGGAAGCTGTCTCTATGCCAGAAGTTTTCTTATTGAAGTCTAACAAAACAGTGAGCAATCTAGACAAACCAATAACATGGCACCCTGTGTCCCCAAACCAGCATGCACTAAGAGCTTCATTAAAATCAATCTTGAATTCAGCAAGTAAATCAACACTCACCAAAGACAATACATTAGATTAATCAGGCACAAAATACCCCATACAGATCAGCAGGCCAAAAGTTTTTCAAAAGTAAGCACAACAGAAACCTTCAGTTCTTGGTCAATATCAAAGTACCATGATGTTTCACCACAAAGCAGCACATATAATTAGCAATCAATTACTCATTAGAATTGCCCCACAAAGCAAGATATGAGCACATGCAAGGTCTCTAATTCCCTTTGGCTCACTGGGTTCTGGCCTTGTTTTATTCTAAAAGCACCTCTAGAGTGTGCAAAAAGGCAAAAGGGCTTGTTCAGGTCCCAGGCCCGCTTGCTTGACTGGCAGACTGCGGTGGGTACAGCAGACCATGACCAGGAGAGCTGGCTTCCTCATGAACCTGGGGGATGAGCCCTCTCACTGTTGGCAAACCCGCCTTTTCTGCACAAACCCCAGACTTTCCAGGTGCAACTCCAGACGCCATGTCAGAAAGAGAGAGGATGGCGCGGCAAGGTCCTCCCAAGCTACCGGTTCCTATGTCACTGGAAACAGCCCAACTTCTTGTCTGCGGTTACCAGATCTCCCCAGGCCTTAATGCCAACTGCACCGCCATGCAGGAGCATAGCCGTGTTGCCCAGGAAATCCTGCCCAACAAGGAAGCAATACCCCTTGTGATTATTGTATCAGCAAGGCTTGCAAATCTTGGAAGGGCAAATGATGGCAATGCTGTGGCTTGAGAGCCCCCTCCTCTCTCATTATTTCCAATACACCCCTATTTGTGCCTGCCTGTTGGGCCATGACCTTCGATCAGTGTCTCTCATGGTCAGCCTAACACTTGATTTTCCAACACCAGATGGGGCATCCATATTTCTAATGTAAGATTTCCAAGACAGCCACACATTACGTACCCCACTCCTACTGTGCTGGGGGCTTTCTATCAACGAAAGCCTCCCCTAAGTGTGGAGATACCAGACAGAGACTGCAGCTTCCCAGAATCCCTGCACTCAGGAATTAACTGAGGTAAACACACAGGGCCTCTAAAACAGACACAGATAAAATAGACTGATCACTAAAAAAGTTTCAAAATAGGTAAAAAAGAAGAAGATTTTCTGGGACCCCTGAAAGGTGAACCTCTTATCCCCATGATGCTCAGCAACAGGGACTCTGTGGGAAAAGACTGCTCCCACTGTGCAGTGTGCTGCCCACAGCTTCGGTTTGCCACGCAGCTGCACTGAGACGGAGATTTAGAAATTTCCTTGCAAAGTCCATGTGGCCCTAAGGAGGTAAACCAGGAGTAGCCAGGAGATAATGTTTGAGAAAGGGTGAGTTTTATCTCCAAGGTGATTTGGATCGTTGAGCAGAGTTCTTGGTAAACTGTACTGTAAGATCTCATTTCTGAGAAATCACAACAAACAAGGTGTCAATAACTGGGAATTAAGACCGTGGGCAAAGTCCTTAGCAAAACCTGCTGTCTTGTGAAGTGTTGCTGGTCCTTAGCGTGGCACATCAGGTAAGCAATGGCAGCAGGGGTCTCCTCCTTCTGAGGGCAGAGCCTGTATGTTTGGAGTCGGTGCGGGCACCTCTGCTGAGTGCTGGGCTGGGCAGGTGAGCCTCACAGTGCCAGAAAGCTTGCTCAGACCCAGTTCTGGTAATATGGGTTGAAGCACAGTTGCCCAGGGAGCACTCAGGACAGGGAGCTCAGCCAGCTGACTCATGGTCATTTTTTATGCCACTGGCTTTCAGATAGACACCCAAAGAAAAAATAAAAAACAATCTTGGCACCAATTTGCTAGGAGAACATCCTAGAAGTATTTATTATTAAAAGGTGTGATTGAGCAGTGACATTCAGTGTTTCCATTTTTCAACCGTTTCTGGGCTTTTTCTTCTTTTTTTCCTTGTGGTCTTTGTAAAAACACCAGAATAATAGCAATCTATTAAGAACTGGCATTCACTCAAAATAGTTTCTCTTAATGTGAATGCTCTTACTGACATTGTAAAATTTATTTACAGTTTCTCTTTTTTCTTCTGTTCATTGTTTGGATGTACCATAGGACTCCAATAAAAAAAACCTGTTATTTATGCTAAACAGATGTACTGTGAAAAGCCAGATGCAACATGGATGATAACCAGCAGCTGGGCAAGCCCTAACAGATAAGCTGCCTTTAACTGCAGGTTTCCTTCATGCCCACAGTTGTTATAGCAGTTTTCTCTGCTGCTCACTTCAATTGCAAGTGCACAGAGATGCTTACAATGGAGGTCTAAGTCCCCATTACTTCCACAGGCTAAAGAATAAAGAGTGGGGATCACTTCCAAAGTGCTTTCTCAGTCTCCCCATGCCTCCTGATGCCTTTCCCAATTGAAAAAAAAAGAAAAGAGAGAAACGAAAAACCAAACAAGGTGAGTTTAAAACAAAACATGGAAAAACCAACCCACCAAGACAAAAAAGTGTGCAGGAAGTTGAAGTGCTGCCTGGATTTGCCTCAGGCAGATTTACCTCCAGAAATGGTCCCTCAAGGCCAGGTAGTTTGCCCTTGACAAAATTGAGAAATAGCAAGGCAAACACCAATAGGGCGTGCTCATGGCAAGGTGCACTCCAACTTCATCCTGTCATACCTCAGGTGTTTTAAGTGTTTAAGATCAAGAAAGTGACAAACACATAAAACCAGGTAGTGCCCAGGACAGCCAAATGCCTATCGCCTGTGTAGTCAGTGAAGCAGGATGCGCAAGGCACTCTACAGGTGGGATGTGCTGGGTTCATGATTTCTTCTCCCCTTTGACGACCTACAGAGCCAGAGCCTAGAGTGGGTGGTCTGAATCACACATCTCGCCTCCAGCCAAAGACATCTAAGTAAGCAAGCAGGACACAGCTGGATACTCCTGCTTTCTCCTGAATATGAGCCATTCCTGTGGCTCTCCTGCACAATTCATTGCATTGACATTGTTCAGTTCTCATCCTATAAAGCATTCATTTAACTCAGAGGGGAAGAAGAAGTCAATTAAAAGAAAAAAAAAAAAAAGTCCAACAATAAATTTTTACCATATTGTCCCAAACAGAAAGCTGGACCAGGTGCAGACCCACGATTAGGATCAAGTGATGGGAAGACATCCAAAGCATTCAGCTGAGCTGATTGCAGAGGTCTGGCTTTGAAGACTGTATACAATGAAGCAAGTCATTAATAGTTGGACTTTCACCTTCCTGGCAATAGATGAGTCATGCATTTGAGAAGGTCAGTGCCTTGGATTTTAAGAATGGAAGAGAAAATCAGGATCATTTACCCTGCAGAACACAGGCTGTACAATTTTCTTTCAGCATTAAGACTGCAGGAGACTAATACCTCCATCTACCTAGCGCCTTAGTTCCTTCTGCATGATTGGGCCAGGAGGGAACCACTGACCCAATTTATAGCTAAGCATGCCAACCTCAGTAACAACAGCGTTTTGTTAAGACCTGGGTATTTGTTACTCTTATGTTTCTCACTTTCTTCATCTGCAGCCAAGCTCTCCAGTTCATAAATGATATTCCATTAGAGCAATCTGATCCCTTGTTTACATGATAGCCCATGTCTCCACAGCCCCAGAACAGCAAACTGATTAACCTTTGGAGAAATGTTCCCAAAAGCACAAGTAGTCTCACTCTTCTTCAGTATGTCAGTTGGTGTCACACTCAGAACATCAACAAGGAAAGAGTTCCTCACAGTATGAGGTGGTTTGAGCCTACCAGGGGAGCAGCCACAGGGGCATTTTGGCTCTTCTCAAAGCAAAGGGAAGCAATAGTTTCACTGCCTGATAAGGCAAGGCAAGAGAACCACCTGGCTCCAAAGCTGGGCTTTCTGAAGAGCTTCACCCTGTCAGATGGGAAAAACAATGTGTGTGTGGTAGCAGGTTTTTGAGGGAGATACTTGTAAAAATAAATCATTTTGATGTGTGCTGATATGCCTGACATGTAAGATGCACAAAAGGGAATACTGAAGTAGCGTGAATAGAGCCTAAAACTGAGAGCTATGGAATGTTTCTGTATCCTACCTGCCAGCAAGTACGAGCCTGCCCTCAGAACAGAGCTGGTTTTGGATACATGTTAGCACGCTGCTTAGACAGAAATGGTCGATAGATCTTCCTGAGGCAAATTAAGGGGAAAAAAAAAAAGATAGGACCAAACAGTTCTAGGTCCTTCCTCCCCCCAGGAAAGCAAGGAGCATCCAGAGAAGCTTCCAAACAACACATTTAATTTTCACATACCTCTTCCACCCACTCAGTGTGGGTACACTGGAATGAATTCTCTATCTTCTAATATTTCATTTGCAAGAAAGGTTCCTGTAAATGAAAGACAGTGTCCAGGTGACAGATTTCCAGACAGCTTCATATCTTCTCCTTCAAAAAACTTCAGAAAGAGAAAATGCAGACTAGCCTCCCAAGCTGTATCTTCTTTCATGAGATATTCCTATGGCTCTTTTTCTCAATACTAGGTTTGGAAGACATCTATACCCCCTTGAGAGAGAAATTAAAACCATAGGCATTCCCAGAATAACCACATTTATACAAGCTTCCCTTCCCTAGAGGAGAAAGAGAGGGACTCAAAACCTCGAAGACTGTTTTAGAACTTTTATGGCACTTAGCCAGAAATTTCAAGAAGACTTCATGTGGCCATAAATCAGCTGAATTGGTCAATGTGCAGAGACAACTGACCAAAACACTCACCCAATGCTAGATGATTCACATTTCTGAGAAAGCCATGAAACAAAAGATTTTGCCTTAAAAAGCAGTGGGTTCCTCAACTTTTCTCAGAGTCATAACACACTGCATGAACTTTCATGATTACAAGGACCAACTTAACTGAATTAATGAACAAGTATATCCAGACATTTCTTTCAGTGCTGGCAAAACGACAAGTACACACCAGGTGACCAAAACCTCAACATTCTACATGCCTAGCCATAAAATTCTTGCACAAATATTCTCACAAACACTTCTGTCCTGCTGAATGACAACAACTAGAATCTTTTTTTGTTATATCCCCTATTCACATATATTTTTATGTCAGGAAATTCTATGTCTCCTTTCAAGCCGAGTGCCTTTTCTCATAGCTACAGAGGCCATTATTCTGGAGGAAGAACTATCAAGTCTGCCTGTCTCTCTCTTATTTTTTAAATGCAATTGTCCTTTAGAGTGAACAAAGGCCTTCTGAAAAATCAGTACTCTTGAAGATACATTCACTCAAGATGAATACACAGTGAGGTTATTTTGGAACAGGGAAAGTATCTTATCCCATATAGTTCTAGGAATAAATATAGATACCAGCAGCAAGTACTAGGGACTTTCAAACACTGTGGAGACTCCTTTGGGCTTCCTGGGTTCTGTTTATCCTACAAGACAACCAGCTGAAGTATTCTGACTGAAGTCTTTGCTGCTTATACATATGCTGCGAATTGGGAAAAGGGACTTCTCAAGCCATTTTCCAAATGGTGGCCTTAGCTGGTAGAAAAGAGGCAAGGAGAGTCCTTTGTGTTATCCTTGCCTTTTCTGTCCAGTGCTAGAGTTCCTAGTGCTTTATGTGAAACTTTCTGAGGAAGATTTCATTATGCTCCCATCTCCATTGAGAATAATGGCAGATTCATTTCCAAACAATGTTCAGAAATAGATCACTTGTAGCCCAAAGACTACAATAGCTTTTACTTCAGTTAACTAGCTAGTAAAGGTCTTCATAAATGTCCTGTGCAGATCTCCCTTAAGGAAGTGATGGCATCACCTAAGCAGTAAAATACACCATCCTCAAGCACCCACAACAGGATTTATCATGGCCACAGTGACTGCTAAGGTCTGGAGAGCTCACAGGTAAGTGGAAACCCACAATGTATAGGTATACTCCCCTTGTCCCCACAGCTCAACATCACCCCTCGGTGGTGTAACTCCCAAAGTCCTGTGACTGGAGATGTTCGCAGAGTTTGCAAGGCACCCTCTGTTCTGCAGCTGCATTGCAGAGTAAATTGTGTGAAACAGGATGCCCATTAAACACAGCACAGTTCAGGCCCACGCTATATGACACATGACCATGTTGGAGAATTACATTGTTTTGAGATGCTCCTTCTTGTAGATCCACACTTGGATCATCCTGGCCCATGGCAACTGAAACGTCTGCAAAGATGCTAGAATTGGGATTTCTGAGTTCTATCCTACAAGACAACCAGCTGAAGACTTCAGCCTGTGAAAACTCCATCTTCCATTGGGTCATCAAAGCTCATGTGAGGCAACATTCCAAACACAGCACTTAATTTTTGGCTTTTTGGCCATATCGTTACAAATCACCTTGGCTTACAGGCAGATAAACTGACTAATTCTTAGACGGACTGATAGAAGACTGACAACCTAAGGGCTTCATGTAATGCCAATGCAGGACTTTGTGAGATAACCTGGATGCCTTTACTTGTTTTAAAGATCCTGTTCAGCCTCTGGTTACTATGCTCAGGGAGACAGCAATGCAGATGTATAGGTGTAGCAGCAAGGACTTTTAAAAAGCCACACAGCAAAAGCTGGAGCTTCACAGATCAGCTTCAGCAGAACTATATTGATTTATAAGAGATGGCCCACATGTATTTGATGCAATCTACTGTCCAGGAAATAGAACACGTGAGGTGGTTGCTCAAGACAGCGGAGAACTGGGACTCGGTGACCCAACAAGGACTTCCAGTTTAATATTCAAAAATCCCTTGAAGCTTCACACAGGACATGGGGCAGAATGCTTAAACCTTGGAAAGAAGGTTCGTGCCCAGGTGGTTGCTGTAACAGGCAGTTTGGAGCACTTTCATTTTTAAAAGTTGCCCTCCAACGTGAAGCTGAGTAGTTTGTAAGGATCAATAAGTCAGAGCAAGCATCCGCCTCTGCATGAACAGTGAGGTTAACTCTGCATTACAAGGTTTCACCAGTGCTTTTTAACTACTGGGTGCTTTTCTAAATTGAAGACCAGGCGCACTGGTCAGCAAAATGAAAAGACAGAGCCCCAGGCAGCGTTCAGTTCACAAGTACCTGCCAATTTGTTTTGCAATTGCACTGTTATTTAAAAATGACAGTGTTGAATTAAAGAAGGTTTCAGCTGGGTATGGAACTTTGCAGCTCCAAGGCAGATCTGCCAGGGTGCTCTATCTGCCAGCCCATAAAACCTTTTGAGATAGAGCGTGCCAAACTAAATTAACTGGATTTGAGGTCAAGCAGCATTCACAGCTGAATGCTCTGTAGACACCCTGAGAAGGAGCAACAGCAATGCCCCCTTTACCTGTAAAGCATATTGGAAATAAACAAACAAGAAAAGGAAAAATCCACTCACTGTTCTCATGCTCTTTTTTATGAGGTTGAGCAATATTTATTTGA